TCATAATAGAACAAAACCAATCAATATTTAAATAGCTTAATAAAGCAAAACCAAGCAATATTTAAATCTCTTAACTGTATAAAACCAATCGATATTTACATTTCTTAAACATGTAAAACCAACCAATGTTTAAATATCGTAATAGAACTAAACCCACCTATATTTAAATATCTTAATAGAACAAAACCCACCTATGTTTAAATATCTTAATAGAACAAATCAACCCATATTTATCTCTTAACCGTATAAAACCAACCGATATTTAAATTTCTTAATCATATAAAACCAATCGATATTTAAATATCTTAATAGAACAAAACCCACCTATGTTTAAATATCTTAATAGAACAAATCAACCCATATTTATCTCTTAACCGTATAAAACCAACCGATATTTAAATTTCTTAATCATATAAAACCAATCGATATTTAAATATCTTAATAGAACAAAACCAAGCAATATTTAAATCTCTTAACCATATAAAACCAACCGATATTTATATTTAATATAAAACGAGCTATGTTTAAATCTTAATAGTACAAAACCAACCGATATTTAAATCTCCTATTATTGTGCAAAGCTGACTGATATTTAAATCTCTTACTAAAACAAGACTGATCATCATAACAATGTGATTTTCTGTAAATCTGCGCTACACGAATACACTTGACTTGACTTGATCTGCTCGGCCTCATTAATCTCCATCTTTCACAGCTGCTGTTGTTCATCTGACAGTTTTATTCCTGATTGCTCAACGCTGTTTGGAAAGCATCACCTGAACTAAACCCCGATCATGTTTGTCATCCATAAGCATGAAGAAATCTGCATAGATTTCAAAGCTCTCTTTCCTGGAAGGTCAAGCGGCGTGTCAGAGATGGGCAAGAGTATGTGTTCCTTCACCGGTTATCGTCATACATGATGAGAGCAGGAGTCCAGACTGAGCCCTGAGGACACGGCGGGGCAAAGAGACCAAATGACAACATCTACAGCCTCAGCTCTTCCCTGAAGTGACGGATGATCCCATCCATGTTCAGTTGAACAGCTAGTAACTGCACAAATTAGTTGGTGCACGACCGAGAATTCCTGGCAAATGACTAAAACTCATAGTTTGATTTAAATTTAAGACGGAAGATCCAGATGAAGCGTGCCGTTAAATATTATAGTCAGCATGACATCGAAATAACCTCTATTTGCCGTGATAACTTATGTCCTACTCTCATTGTGAATGATTCATCAGTGACATTATTCTACAGAAATAAATTCATCTTCATAATCCTTAATCAAAATGTAGCAACTTGCTCCAGAAACGACTTTCCTTCCATCTGATATCATCAATACCTTTTATTAATCAACTGCTTTCATATAGAGACACGTTTCACCATTTGATCAGTTCGGGAGATTGTTTTTCTTGGTAATATCCTGTTTCATCCAAATTACACAAGAAATTTTTTTTTAAAGGTACTTTAACATTATCTTCATGACTGAACAGGTACTGTGCAAATCAGGGAAATATGCCTAAATAAATCAGAGGATCACAGAACGCAGCGGTATAATTTTTGTATCCTTGAGATTATTATTATTTTTAATCAGTTTTAGATTTTTTGTTTTCATTTAAATTTTAGTTATAGTAATTTTGTTTGTTTTTATTAAATTTAGTTTTTTTTTTTTAAACAGGCCTTTATAGTTTTTATAAATATTTTGAATAATTTTTTATATTTTAAATTTTAATTGTAGTTACAATTTTAGTAATTCTGTTGTGTGTATTTGACATTTTTAGTAGTTGTGTGTTTTTATATACAGTACATATAGTTTAGCTCAGCGAAAAACTTTTTCATATTTAATTTATTTCAGTTAACGATTACTTAATTTCAAGTAACAAAACATTTTTTTTAGTGTTTTTATTTTAGTTTCAGTTTTAGTTACCTATAATAACCCTGGAGTGCAGATTGATGCATATGTCAAGCGTTTGTTTTCTAGTGTATTTCAGATGCAAAAAAAAACCACAAAATCTTTATTTTCATCAGTGAAATTTAAGAGATCAGTGAATGAGAGCGACTGCGTGCTTGGATTGCAGTGTTTGGATCAATCAGACAGTGTTTGTCAGATCACATCATCTAAACTGCCTTTATTTATTTACTTATTTATGGAATATTTTCCAAAGAAATGAGGAGCAGTGCCGTGCAAATTCAAGGAAATGACATAATTGCTGAAGGACAAGTCTCTCGATTCATCAATGTGAGGAAGGATCCAGATCTGATGTCTGAGTGTCAAATTAAACACATGTTTAGTTTCTCTGGGATCTGAATTCAGAAGAAATCTGTGTTTGTTGGAGCTTGACAGCAGCGCCTGTGGCAAAAACCAGAGCCAATGCCACTGACTCATCATTTATTAGAAAGTTCCAGGCCCGAGGCTACAGATCCCACCGTCATCCTCAGGTCCACACACATCTGATCTGAGCGAGCGAAGAAACCAGGTGAGAGTTTCAGTGACGCAGTCTATAAATCCTGCTTGACAGATATAGAGATCCAAATCACTTAGCAACTATAAACACAAGTGGGAAAAAAACTGTGTTAAAGGTGTTATATACCATAGATGGGTTGAAATCTGAAACCTCTAACATCAAGTATTAAACTTCAAGGAATAGATTACCGAAAAATGAAAATCTGCTGTAAATGTGCACACCCTCAGGCCGTCCGAGATTAGGATGAGTTTGTTTCTTCATCAGGTTTGTAGAAATTTAGCATTGCATCAGTGTCTCAGCAATGGATGCTCTGCAGTGAATGGGTGCCGTCAGAATGAGAGTCCAAACAGCTGATAAAAACATCACAATAATCCACAGCACTCCAGTCCATCAGTTAAAATCTGGAGAAGATAAAAAATTTAAACGCTGCTTGATCTGTGCAGGTTTCTCTCCTGATTCACACCAGAACACTTTTTCACTGGAGGAAGCGGTATTATGGATTATGGACTCAATGGTATTTTAGTTAAAAATGTCTTAATGCTGGATTTGTTTCAGCTTTTGTCTTCTCCAAATGTTAGCTGATGGACTGGAGTGCTGTGGATTACTTGTGGATTATTGTGATGTTTTTATCAGCTCTCATTCTGACGGCACCCATTCACTGCTGAGCATCCATTGCTGAGACACTGATGCAGTGACACATTTCTCCAAATCTGATGAACAAACAAACTCTTCCTAATCTCGAACGGCCTGAGGGTGAGTGAACCAGCAGATTTGAATTATGTTTCAACTATTCCTTTCAGTGTGTAAATAAATCCTGCATGACCAGAAGATCACAGAGACTCTTCCACAGGTAAGCGACACTCATGTTCCCTTCAGTAAATGTCAGTGGAGTTGAACCTGATAATCATGAGGATGTTTTTCATCTTTCACAGGCCGAACACGAAGCGTTTGATGATTTGTTCTCAGCAGATGTCTGATCATCAGATGTTTTCTGGAGCTCTCATCTGACCTACTTCTGTCACAATTACAATTCTAATTCATCAGCATGAGGTCATTTCCTATGAGAAATGAAGCATAGAGTGTTTCTCAGGATAGAGTAAACGATTCTGAGCTCCAAGAATCAATCTTATAAACGAGTGACTGTCATTAGATCATGAAATATGACAGCATGAGTCTGTATCTGATCAGACGCTGCAGGAGCTTTTCTCAAAACAAACTTCATTCTTCCTTTGCTTTGATGTTTTCTATTGAATGACATTCAGACATTTTAAATGTGTTTTTTGTGGTCACTATCTGTTTCAATGCAGTACAGGAATTACATGCACTGAAAAACTTCTGTCATATCATTATTTTTTGATCAGGAGACGCAGTGCAGAGATGCTGGAGCATGTATCTGTTGATCGTCTGTTTGTTTTAAACTCCAGTGAGTGATATTGAACAGGCGTTCAGTGACACACATATCTCTGCGTATCTACTGGAAACACTGACATCAGGCCGGTTCTGTCCAGCCTACAGAAGGCTTTGTGTTTCTCTGTGCCGCCCACATGTGAGTGTCAGCTGGCCTGTGCAATCACACCACTCGTTTTATAAGCCATGACTGCATCACTATAATATTTGATATGTTTCCTGGGCGTTTACATAACACAAACACACACACACACACAAACACACACACACACACACCGGCTGCATTAGGAACCATCACACCGGAGAAAAATCACCTTAAAGAACAAACACATTTTGATTTCATGACTTCTTATGATGCACTTAGTCACAAAAGAATGCATACATTTGACTGATATAAGGAATACATCCCCGTTATAAACAGGAAATGCCCTACTGTCTAAATTCAAACATTTAAAGTCCTAATGGAATGCTAATGGCATTTCTGTCATAACAAATGATTTAGAGATCAAACAGAATCCTGCTGGATGAGCCGAACGTCCTTCCTTATTTAATAAGAAATGAATGGCAATAAAGACATTTATAATGTCACAAACGTTTCTATTTCAAATAAGTGATGTTCTTTTAGTGTTCATCTGAGAATCCTGAAAAATCAAATGTATCAGTTTCCACAAAAATATTGTGCAGCACAACTGTTTTCAGCATTGATAATAATCAGAAATATTTCTTGAGCAGCAGATTTCTGAAGATCATGTGACACTGAAGACTGGAGGAATGATGCTGAAAATACAGCTGCACATCACAGAAATACATTACAGTTTAATATATATTCACAAAGAAACAGCTTTTACTGATTATATACCATATTACTGATTTTACACTACAATCTTTCTAACCCCAAACTTTTGAACTGTAATGTGTAAGATATATATAAATGTCATTTTTGGCGTGTGTGTGTGTGTGTGTGTGTGTGTGTGTGCTGATGGAAAGTTTGCTGTGGAATGCGCAGTTTTTTCTCCTGATGTTGAATATGCGCGTCCTGCTGAACACTGATTGGTCGAGAGAACAGCTGAAGAATGTGTGAAATGACTTAAATAGCGCTGGACTCTCATGTGCTCAGAAGAGCGGAACATCTCCAACACACACACACACACACACACAGTCAAAGATACAAGGGGATCTCGGCAAAGCGTCTTCACTATAAGAGTGTCTCTCTTCAGGTGAGTGTTTCTTTTCAGCGTTGCGCTTTGGAGACGGGTTTTCACATGTAGCTACAGACAGATGTGTGATGTGATGTGATGTGATGTGATTTCAGGGGAATCATGACTCTGAGAGGACTCGTTTTGTGCCTCGTCTTGTGGAGTTGCGTGAGCAGCAGACGCGTAGGTGAGGAGAAACTTTATGCTTTGGTTCTTTTTCATGTGCTCGGTATATTCGTGCGCACTTACATTCGCATTCGAACCCGCAGAAATGCCTGATGATGACACCGTGTTTGACCTGTTCGAGCTCACTCATGTCCACAAGAAGCATCACGGGGTGAGTTTAGTGAAGGGACCCGATCCAAACAGCCCCGCGTACAAGATCCTGAACCCGAACCTGATCCCCTCAATGCCCGAGCTCTCCTTCAGGGACCTGATCTACTCCATCCAGAGCGAGAGAGGCTTCATCTTCACCGCCAACCTCAAGCAAGCCAAGCGCACCAGAGGCAGCCTGGTCTCCGTGGAGAGGACAGACGGCACCGGATCCGTCTTTGAGATCATCTCCAACGGGAAAGCCAACACCGTGGATCTGGTGTTCTGGACCGCGAGCGGGCAGCATGTGGTGTCCATTGAGGACGTGGACGTGGCGAACGGACACTGGAAGAACATCACGGTGTTTGTGCAGGAGGATCGAGCTCAGGTCCATGTGGGCTGCGAGGAGATCAACACTCAAGAACTGGATGCTCCGATCCAGCAGATCCTGAATCAGGAGAGCGCGGACATCTCGAGCCTGAGGATCGCCAAAGGAGCCGCCAAATCCGATCGCTTCATGGTAAGAATCTGGGTTTTGTTTATGTTTGATGTATCAGAGCTGCATGATTGTTGTGGTATTATATTAGTTATCTGTGGTACTATCGTGCTATCCGTTGTGTTATATTATCATTTGATGCGTATTTTCGTCCTCTAACGAGACGTTTGGAAACGCGTAAAGACGCGGTTCGTGCGCGCGAAGTGTTTTAAAATGTATCAGTTTCCACAAAAATATTGTGCAGCACGACTGTGTTCAACACTGATAATAATCAGAAATGTTTCTCGAGCAGCAGATCAGCATATTATACTGATTTCTGAAGATCATGTGACACTGAAGACTGGAGTAATGATGCTGAAAATACAGCTGCACATCACAGAAATACATTACAGTTTAACAGAGATTCACAGAGAAAACAGCCTTTACTGATTATATACCACATTACTGATTTTACACTACAATCTTTCTAACCCCAAACTTTTGAACTGTAATGTGTAAGATATATATAAATGTCATTTTTGGCGTGTGTGTGTGTGTGTGTGTGTGTGTGTGCTGATGGAAAGTTTGCTGTGGAATGCGCAGTTTTTTCTCCTGATGTTGAATATGCGCGTCCTGCTGAACACTGATTGGTCGAGAGAACAGCTGAAGAATGTGTGAAATGACTTAAATAGCGCTGGACTCTCATGTGCTCAGAAGAGCGGAACATCTCCAACACACACACACACACACACACACAGTCAAAGATACAAGGGGATCTCGGCAAAGCGTCTTCACTATAAGAGTGTCTCTCTTCAGGTGAGTGTTTCTTTTCAGCGTTGCGCTTTGGAGACGGGTTTTCACATGTAGCTACAGACAGATGTGTGATGTGATGTGATGTGATGTGATTTCAGGGGAATCATGACTCTGAGAGGACTCGTTTTGTGCCTCGTCTTGTGGAGTTGCGTGAGCAGCAGACGCGTAGGTGAGGAGAAACTTTGATTGATTCTAATCAAAGGGTGATAGGGCTTTCTCAGTGGCTGCTCCTCCTCCAATGCATCTGTGGATGCTTTTAAGTCTAGACTGAAATCTTACCTTTTTAGTAGAGCTTTTAGAATTGATTAGAGTGATCAGGTTTTAATTTTTGACTGTATGTAATGATGCTGAAAAGCAATTCGGTCAATGGCAGTTGTTTTAAATGTACTACAGAAATAAAATGTGTATTGTATTGTATTTTTCAGCCCGGTCTCATGAAAATGCATATATATAGTATGCCAAATACAAACAGAAAATCGTGCTACTGATACGCAGAAAGTGACTTTGGCGTGCATATGATACGCATCTACCCCACAACCCTAATCCTAGCCATTGCGTATCATATGCACGCCAAAGTCAATTTCTGCGTATAAATAGTATGCCAAATCGAAACATAAACTCGTGCTATTGATACGCACTTTCATGAGATCGGGTTGGATATATTCGTACACGCTCACGTTCGTTTTCTCTCGGAATCCGCAGAAATGCCGGATGATGACACCGTGTTTGACCTGTTCGAGCTCACTCATGTCCACAAGAAGCATCACGGGGTGAGTTTAGTGAAGGGACCCGATCCAAACAGCCCCGCGTACAAGATCCTGAACCCGAACCTGATCCCCTCAATGCCCGAGCTCTCCTTCAGGGACCTGATCTACTCCATCCAGAGCGAGAGAGGCTTCATCTTCACCGCCAACCTCAAGCAAGCCAAGCGCACCAGAGGCAGCCTGGTCTCCGTGGAGAGGACAGACGGCACCGGATCCGTCTTTGAGATCATCTCCAACGGGAAAGCCAACACCGTGGATCTGGTGTTCTGGACCGCGAGCGGGCAGCATGTGGTGTCCATTGAGGACGTGGACGTGGCGAACGGACACTGGAAGAACATCACGGTGTTTGTGCAGGAGGATCGAGCTCAGGTCCATGTGGGCTGCGAGGAGATCAACACTCAAGAACTGGATGCTCCGATCCAGCAGATCCTGAATCAGGAGAGCGCGGACATCTCGAGCCTGAGGATCGCCAAAGGAGCCGCCAAATCCGATCGCTTCATGGTAAGAATCTGGGTTTTGTTTATGTTTGATGTATCGGATCTGATTGATTGCAGTCATCTGTGATATTATCGTGCTATCCGATGATGCGTATTTTCTTCCTCTAACGAGACTTTTGGAAACGCGTAAAGACGCGGTTCATGCGCGCAAAGCGCTTCGTCTTTAGCCAGTGTTTTTTTTGTTTAACAGTCTTCGTCTGAATGTTCCATGTAATAGTAGCTGTTGGAACTGTGTTTGGTTTTTTCTGCCAGTCTCGGCTTTTGACCATTATCCCGTTTTACAGGGAGTTCTCCAGAACGTGCGGTTTGTTTTTGGAACGACTCTGGATGCGATTTTACGCAACAAAGGATGCGAGAGCTGTGAGTGCTTAATAGAGCATGACTTTTTATATTCTTAAATGCTGAAAAAATTAAATGTTATTAAATAAATATAGCATGTGTGATCCTGGACCACAAAACCAGTCATAAGGGTAAACATTTTTGAAACATCGTCTGGAAGCTGAATAAATAAGCTTTCCATTGATGTATGGTTTGTTAGGATAGTACAATATTTGGCTATTTGAGAATCTGAGGGTGCAAAAAAAATCTAAATATTGTGAAAAAAGTTGTCCAAAAGAAGTTCTCAGCAATGCATATTACTAATCAAACATGAAGTTTTGATATATTTACGGTAGGAAATTTACAAAATATCTTCATGGAACATGATCTTTATTTTGCATAAAACAAAAATGGATAATTTTGACCCATGCAATGTATTTTTGGCTATTTCTACAAATATACCTGTGCTACTTATGACTGCTTTTGTGCTCCAGGGTCACATATATCATTCAGAGATGTTATATTAAAGCTCATGCGTTGTCAATACAGCAACCTTCATCACTGATGTCATGACCTTGGAAAACCCCGTGAACGGATCCAGCCCGGCCATCCGCACTGATTACACCGGACACAAGTCTAAAGGTCAGATGATCGTCATGTGCTTGTAATGTGTCTGGGGTCTCATCATGGACTCATGAAGTTAACGTCAGAATCCTGTTCCTCTTCAGATCTGCAGGACATCTGCGGTTTCTCCTGCGACGATCTGTCGAGCATGTTTAAGGAGCTCAAGGGACTCGGCGTGGTGGTGAAGCAATTGTCAAACGAGCTCCGCCAAGTGGTGAGGATCAAAACCAGTTGATGTTCATACATACATGTGTCTCTCCGCCCTGTTTCTCTTCTGATGCCAAACAGTTGTTCCTCAGCCACTTCCCTCAAAATAGTTTCTAATGACAGTTCCTCTGTTCTTCTTCTGGCTTTCAGACAGCAGACAACAACTTAATCATGACTCAGATTAAAATCCACGAAGGGGTTTGTCTGCACAATGGCATCGTTTACAGAGACAAAGACGAGTGGACGGTGGACAGCTGCACCCACTGCACATGTCAGGTATGGGTCTTCTTACTGATGTAAAAACGTAAAGTTTCAGTACTTGTTTTGTGTGGGTAGCTGGTGGTTAAGTTAGTCAAAATCCCTGGCCCTGGTGTTGGAGAAGGAAAAAAGGTGCAGTCTCTTCCTCTCTCAATCCATTCTGTGTCTCTGTTTCACTGCACACATGCATCTGAATGGCCGGGATTCAGGAATGTTTTAATTGGTGAGTGATACCTGCTGTCTCTGGTTTCTGGTGAGACCAGCGCCTGCGTGTGTGTTTGTGTGTGTGCGGTTGTGGCCGCTGACTCAGTATGTCTTCTCCACCCTCATGCTGGCCACATTAAAACACTTTGTTAGTCCGGTCAGATGTATTCCCCTGCTGCCCGCTCAGAGTTTATATCACCACACAATTTTCCTGCCAAAGCCAAGGGTCACTTTTTATTGCCAGCTGAGAGGCGTTTATTTCTCATCCATTATGTGCAGCTGTTGGGATCATGCGATTAAACTTGCTTCAAATATTTTATTCGCAGAACTCCGCCACTGTGTGCCGTGAAATCTCTTGTCCTCTCATGCCCTGTGCCAACGCCACCGTCCCCGATGGCGAATGCTGCCCACGCTGTGGAACACGTAAGTCAAGTTTCAGAATTCATTATGTAGGTCATCATTCATCTGATCTCTGGCCACAATGAGCAAATTTTCAAAAATGTGTTATTTTTATTTGTACGTTCTCCATTAAAGGCACAATATGTAAGATTGTTTTATTAAAATATGAAAAAACCACTAGAACAGTGTTATATATTTTGCTGACTTGTGTATTTACATTATCCCAAATGTTTCGAAGAATGTTTAAATCCAGAGAAATAAGCACCGTGTCACGGAGCGTGTCTATAGTGTCATTGTGTCGCCTACTAATGACATCATAACCCCTCGATTTCCGGTTTTGTTTTGTAAAGAACATGGAAACACCAAAGATGCTTTAATATGTTGAGTGTTTTAATAGACCGGTGACGACCGCACAGAGTAGCATTATAACAGAACTTTCAAACGTATCTAGTATGATAAAACAGCGCTGCTTTACCCCACATACGCACGATTGGAAGCAGCGGAAGCGCTCGACTGTGGCATAATAAAAGCTCCGCTGCTTTCGAGCGTATTCACACTCATTTTGCCAGCACGGCTCACATATTTTCTCTGATTGTTTTCTTCAAGCGAACGATGCGGGTGTGGACGGCTGGTCGCCCTGGTCCGAATGGACACACTGTTCGGTGACCTGCGGCAGAGGCATTCAGCAGCGCGGACGCTCCTGTGACCGAATCAACAGCAACTGCGACGGCACGTCTGTCCAGACGAGAGATTGTTACATGCAAGAATGCGACAAACGCTGTGAGTTCAACTACATCTGCCACTTGCATCATATTTGGATCCCCATGCACCTCATTAATGCTTATTTCTGTCTTCATGCAGTCAAGCAGGACGGCGGCTGGAGCCATTGGTCCCCCTGGTCTTCTTGTTCAGTGACGTGTGGCGAGGGCGTCATCACTCGCATCCGGTTGTGCAACTCCCCTACGCCTCAGATGGGCGGGAAAGACTGCGAGGGAGATGGTCGTCAGACTGAACCGTGCCAGAAGGATCCGTGCCCAGGTGAGTTTTTTTCACCTGTTGAAGTGTTTGCAGAATATGACCTGAAAACCCCAATGACACTGCATTACTCTCGGTGTCTCAG